AATGGGGCTCTGTCCGTGGTGCTGAAGGATCTGGCGAAGGCAAGAGAATGGGGAGAGTTTGTGGATAGACTTTTTGTCTATCGAGGCAGAGAGCAGGCAAAATCGATGGGGCCAGAACCAATACCCTCCACACCTATAGCTTCTTTGGAAGGTAAGTGGAAGAGAACAGATGAGTGCGTGTATGAAACACAGACATAAATACACAGACACACACACAAACAGAGACACTAGAGACACACACATATACAGATACACAGACACACATGCATATACAATCCACACACAATGACATAGACATGCAGAGATGTGAAGACACACAAGGACACACACATGTGCATATGCATGCATACCCATACACATACACACAATATGCACCTCTCCAGGGATGGCTTGGAGCCCACAAGCCCCCAAGATGCTCTATCAGTGGAAGGTTTCATGATCAAACACGTTCAGAAAATGCCGCAAGTTACAACGTACCCTCCACCCCGACCACTGCAATGAAAGGCTCCTGAAGGGGAACAAACAAAAATTTGTTTTATGATTTATTCAGTGAAAAAATCTTGATTTCGCACCTACTATGTGCCCAACACTTGGTTTCAGCTCATTCATGATCTTGGGGTCCTGGGATTGAGCCCCGCAGGCTCTCTGATCTGCAGGGAGTCTGCTTCTCCCTCCCTCTCTGCCCCTTCCCCACCTCTCTCTCTCTCTCTCTCAAATAGATAAATAAATCTTAAAAAAAAAAGTTCAAATACAATATTTTCCTAAATTCCATAAACACAGGATCCTGTTTTCTCCAAACACCTTATGCACATTCCCTGGAACCTACCTTCCCCAGGGCACACTTTGGGAAAGGTGGTGTCCAGAACTTAGCTAAGCTACTCCAGAAAATGGCTGCCTCGGCATCCCTTCTGCGTCGCCAGGTGGCCTGTGGGAACCTGAACCTGACATTCGCCCCTCCCAGAAGCACATGCCTTAGAGTAACAAGCAAAGGCAAGTTCCTGGTGACTCCCCCAACCACCTTTGTGAGCAAGTCTCCCCTGCTTCCCAGCGCTTATATCCCTCATCCACCCCTTGGTTAAGACCCCTGTGGGGCTCACCAAAACCCCACTCTTTTGGTTTGAATCCCAGTCCAGTCCTGGCCCAGGAACCCCAGAGCACTCCACCCACAGACCCCAAGAAAGGCAAGTGCGCCAGGTCCTGGCTCTGTCTGCACTCTGCCTTGACCTCCCCATGTGGCCCCTTGAGGCGTGCTCTGTACTTCCTCTGGGACCCGTAAATAATAAACTTCCCCATTTCAGTTTCTCTTGTGGTCTACTGTTGAGCCACAGCCCACCATCTGTGCTCAACTTAATAAATGTTCATTTAACAGTCCTGGTGTGGGGATACATGGAACACAACATTCCCAGATAATCGCATTCACAGCAGGAAATAAGCTGGACGGAGTCATCCCATGACTGTCTGACTTCCACTCCTTGAGACCTCACCTCTCCAGACGACCACCCATTCCCCTTTCCCCACCCCAGGGCTTTCTCCACATCAATCCTCGCCTGCGTGTCACTCCCCACCCCTGCACACACACACACTAGAGGGTAGCTTCAAGGGCAGACTGTGCCTGTTGTGTTCAGCGATGCGTCCCCAGTGCTTGGCAGGGTCCCAGACAAGTAGTAAGTGCTCAATAAACACAAATAAGGAAGTAGATGTGGACACAGTAGAAGGAGTGTGAAATTTGGGGCTTTGGGTTCAGATCTCAGTTCTACTGCTTTGCAGACCATGATCTGGTAGCAGTTCCATCACCAACAAGGGAGAACTTAATGCCAACCCCATGGGCCTTTGTGAGGACTGAGCTGTGAGGGACAGGAAGTCAGCCTTGCCCCCAAGTGGGCACTAAATACATGGTAGCAAGTGTGATTCTTTCTACCACTACCACTCTGGGCTCATGTGATTAGAAAGGTCCCCCAAATTCATGTCCCCCGAATACTTCATCTTTGCCCTGGGTGAACGGCTGCAGGGTAGGCGTACCATGAGGACTACATGGCAAGATGCATGAGAAGACAGGTCCCAGGCATCTGCCTGGTCAGCAACGGCCCCTCCACATCTGCATGCCCGTCGAAGCTCAAGGACAGCAGACCCCGACAAAGAGCACATATTCCTTCCCAGTGGAGAAGGTCTGAGTTTATTCTGGAGCAGGCAGCTTCCCCATTAGGGCAGCCGTCCAAATCACCTGAAATGCTCAGTAAGCAGAGTCCTGGGCACCATTTAGCCCAGAGTCAAAATCTCTGACCTCCAGAACTAACTGTACGAGCCTCAAGAGGAAACCAAAACGTATTGGGTCTGTACACTGTAAAGACCTGCTTTGGGGTCCTGTGACCAAGCATGAGAAAGGTCCCTACCCCTGGGTTTGGAGTGTACAAAGGACTATCGTACACACACTAACACACATACCCACACCTCCAGCCAACTGTCTCCACACAGCATGAAGACCCAGTGTTGCAGAACTTCCAAGAGAAGCCAGAAGTCCATGCTTTTATGTGATATGTTCCAACTTAAAATTCTGGCTCGAGATCATGAAAAGGAGACAAAGGTTACTGATATGGGACTCCAAAACCTTAATTCCCCCTTAAAAAAATTTTTTTTGCCAGCTTTGAGGTAAAATTGACAAATTGTAAGATATTTGAAGTGTGCATCTTAATTTGATACACGTGTACACTGTCAAAGTTCCCACCCCCTAATTAACACACCCCTCACCTCTCACGGTTACCTTTGCTTTGTTTGGGGGGTTGTTTTGTTTTGTGTTTGGTGAGAACTTAATTCTCTCGAATCGATGCTAAAGAGAGGATTGGAAACTGAAGCCCCTAAACCCAAATCGGCCCCCGGTATGTTTGGATTGGTTCACACTGGGCTTTAATTCTTTTTTAATTAGTTGCTAACATTAAAAAAAAAAACAGGGGGTTTCCCATTTTTAAAAATCCTAATTCTGATCTCTCCTGGAAAATCAGGCCAGGCAATGCCACGCCCACATTCCGCAGGGCCCGCGCTGGCTGGGGGATCATCTTCCCAGGGCCCTCGCTCATTTCCGTCCCCTGCCTGGACCCCACAAGAATCTAAGCTTGCAGCTTGCAGGTGAACTTTTCAGACCAGGCACCACCGAGACCTGAAGCCAAGACATCAAGCACATGGTAGAAGAGCCAGGAAAGGCAGAGTCGGCTGCAGGAAAGAAGGGGGGAATGTTCACTCCGTGAGAGGAAAAAGCTAAGGGCTGCGGCGCTTCTTCAATTTCATTCAGTGGTTCTCAACAAGGGGCGACTTTGCCCCACACCCAGGGGACATCTGGCAATGTCTGGAGACAAGCTGGACTGACACTGGTGGAGGGTGCTATTGGCATTGATTGGGTGGGATGCCGCTCAACACCCTACTGGGGACTGGGTCACAGAGTGACCCAGCCCCAAATGTCAATACTGCTGATGCTGAGAGGGCCTGATCTGTTTTGTGCAGCGCATTAGTTCTCCACATGGGCATACGTGGTCTCTTGGGATGAAGAAACATTGAACTGGCGTCTTGGACGGCAGGGCTGAGAAGGGTGCCCGACGTATAGTAAGTGCACCCAGGGAATGATGATCCTGTGTCATTGTTAACATTGTGGGTAAATGTATTTAGTCTCACTCCAGTGAGTCAATGACTCGTCTTCCTGGAAAGCATCGGGACAACAATAATGGTAATATTAATATTAATGGTACACAGTTCTGTTAGCTCACTGAGTTCTGCGTTAAGTGAAGTAAGCTGAGGCTTGGAGAGGCACGGACAGATGCCCCGGGTATCCCTTCAAGTGGGACAGGCAAGCTCTTTGCAGAGGAACCCGAGGGTCAGAGTTCACTTGCCCAGGGTCACAAGCCCTAGGGGTCAGCTCCTCCCCCCCTCCTGGGGTAGGGAGCAGAAGACGCAGGCCTAAGGCCCAGCTGCTTCCTTCCACCCGCCACCACTCGTGCTCCCACAACTCCTCACCCTCCCACCCCCGCCTCCCAAGGGGTCCAAGGTCAGTGCTTCACAGAGGGGACCCAAGGGCATGAGGCCATGTTTTCTCAGGGCTCTGCTTATGCGTGCCCTCTCTGGAGAAACAAGAGCTTCACCACACCCCCCGCCCCTTTAAAGCGATCTGAGATTTCAAACCAAATTGAACCACATTAACCAATTTCCAAGCAAGGAAATGCCACTTGAGACCATGCTTTTCTGACCTACAATCACAACCAGAGAGAGTCTAAAAGATCCTCCCGGGAGTCAGGCTCCCACCCCCCAGGTGGCCACCTGTGACCTTGGTTTTGAGCCCCTCATCCTCCGGATGAGGACCTGAGGCCGGGGGGAGAGTGGGGAGCATGACCTGCCCAAGGACAGGGAAGTACCAGGTGCCAGATTCCGAGCTCACGCTGGAAATCTTGCTTCCTCCTTCAACTCCCTGATGCCAGCAAACTCCTCTTTCCCCAGAGGTAAAAGGGACACCAGGCTGAAAACACCCCTTGGTGGGGCCCTTTCTCCCCCAGGACAGCCCACTGCAGCCTCCCACAAATCCAGGGACGTGGGCACCCAGACTCTGGCTGTGGGTCCCAGGAAACTGGAATCAGGATCAGCATGGGGGGAGGCCTATCCTGATGAGTGACCTACTAGCGGGCCTCACCTCACAGGACGGCTGCAATGACCCTATAGGACTGTGTCTGTCAGGCACAGAGCACAGTGCCTGGGACACAGAAGTGCCCCCAACACAGAAGTGCCCCCAAACCGTCAATAAGCCGTCAATATCCTTGTCTTCATCCCCCCAGCCCCTCAGCTGGCTCCTCCACTTGGACCCACCAAAGTCCCTCTTCCTCCTCCATGGTGTAGCTCCCCACTGGAAAACAGTGGCCTGACCAGGGACATTTCTAGCCTCCTGTGCAGTGCGATGTGACCCTGTGACTGCCTCCCCCCCCCACAAACACACACACTTAATGAGATGTGAGCAGGGGAAAGACGGGTCACCTCCAGGCCAAGTTTTCCAAGAAGCTAGATGCAGGAAGGGGCTTCAGGTGCTGGGGGAGGAAGCCACAGTCGGGAGCACAGGCACCTCGTCTGCTGTCACTGTCCCACGAGTGAGGAACGGCCTTGTGTTAACCCACTGAGGCTGTGGGGTTCCTCCTCTAAGCTGCAAGAAGCAGGCCCTACTCAGAACCAGCCCCAGTTCCTCACAAGCCCAAGGAATATTCCAAGTCCGGTGCCCTTCTGTCTGGAAAGCCCACGGCCCACTGCAGGTGACTAGGTCGGGTCACTCTTCAAGAGGACAGTCCAGTCTACATCAGCCCAGGAGGGTACCAACTCAGCAGCTTTCTCCACGGCCCAGCCCTCGCCCGGTGTCCCCTCTGTGACTGCGGGCTGGGGAGCCCTCAAGTCATGCTCTTGCCCTTCTCCCTCCCAACTCAAGAACCACGCAGAGCAGGGACAATCAGATAGTGCGATTTATTGCCCCCGCGCCCCTCCTTCAGCCGCGTCCAGGCCAGGGAATAGACGGGACCCCATCTCTGCGGGGTCTGCTGGGAACAGGGCCTAGTCCTGCTCCAGCACTCCTCCACGACCCCAAACCCAGGAAGGGGAGAGGGACGAGGGCCAAGAAAAAGAACAGGACCCGCGGGGAAGTAGAGACAAAATAATGGAAGGGTGGTCGGGAGGCGGGTGTGATCAAAAGAAAACTCTAAGGGGAAAAGGACCCCCTCCCTTCGCTCCGTGTGGCCCTTGTGAAGCGGAAGGGCGGGGCCTTCCGGGCGGCGGGGCAAGAGAAAGAGGGACCAGGAACCGCTCTTTCGGTCGTGGGCTCCGTCCTCCCTCGGTCTCCAGTTCCCGCGCGCGGTCTCTCCCGGGCTCGCCGAGAACCAGAAGGGCAGGCCAGGCTGGGGCAGGCTGCAGGGCGCAGGGCGGGGGCGGGAGGGCCCTAGCGCCCCGGG